ACTGCACGGCCTTGAGCGCATCGAAATCCATCAACACATCCTCACACACATGTTTCGGGAGCAAAGGGACAGACGAGCCTCCCGGTATAACCGCCAGCAGATTATCCCAACCCCCGCGGACCCCACCGCAGTGCCTCTCGAGAAGCTCCTTCAACGGAATACTCATCTCTTCTTCAACCGTGCACGGCTTGTTCACGTGCCCCGAGATGCAGAACAGCTTAGTCCCAGAATTGTTTTTCCTCCCGAAGCTGGAAAACCACTCAGGCCCGCGCCTCAGGATCGTAGGCGAGACTGCGACCGTCTCGACATTCGTGACAGTTGTCGGGCAGCCGTAGAGGCCCGCGTTCGCTGGGAAAGGAGGCTTAAGCCTCGGTTTTCCCTGTTTGCCCTCGAGGCTCTCGAGGAGAGCAGTCTCCTCGCCGCATATGTAAGCCCCGGCACCGAAATGAATGTGCACATCAAAATCGTAACCCGAGCCGCAAGCGTTTTTTCCGAGAAGTCCGGCTTCATACGCTTCCTGGCGAGCCCTCACGAGGTTAATCCTCTCGTTCACGTACTCGCCGCGTATGTAGATGTAAGCTGCACGAGCACGCATTCCCACGCCAGCTATCAAGCAGCCTTCTAACAGCTTGTGTGGATCGTGTCGCATGATTTCACGATCCTTGCAAGTCCCGGGCTCGCTCTCGTCGGCGTTCACGACGAGGTATGACGGACGGCCGTCGGAAGTTTTGGGCATGAAGGACCATTTGAGCCCGGATGGAAATCCGGCGCCACCACGGCCTCGGAGGCCGGATTTCTTCATCTCGTTGACTATCCAGTCGGTGCCTTTGAGGACAAGGTCTTTGGTCCGGTGCCAGTCGCCTCTTTTCATGGCGCCCTTGAGAAAAGGGTCGTGAAGGCCGTAGAGGTTTGTGAAGATTCGGTCTTCGTCTTTGAGGCCGCCAAAGTGGGTTTTCTCGGGAGGTGGGGGTGGAGGAGGGGCTTGTGGGGTGGGAGGAGTGGTTGATGCTTGTGTGCTGAGCAGTCTTGTTGCTAGAGGATGGTTCTCTTGCGAGCGGAGGATAACAGAAGCTCTTCGCAGGGAAAGAATGCTCTTTATGGGTGCCTGTGTGGACAATAAGATGAAATGGGGTTATAAAAGTGTAACTTTGGGTCCTGGAGATATAGTATAAGGAAGTTTATTTTGTTTCTTCTCAAATGGACACAGAAATTAGCAGCAAATAATGATAGAAGAAACTGAGACCCCAAGATCAGGTTAGTAAGCTGTAAACTACATAAGGAAACAGTAGGAAAATGAAGATGAGGGCTGCCATCTGTACAAACTATGGGTATACAAACATAATTCAAATTAGAGAAAAAAACTAGTAATCTGAACACCTTAAGACATAACATGTTGGCAAAACTACATCTTGCATGTGAATCACTCGGTCCATTTCTCAATCTCGGCCAAAGGAATCCTCAAAATTTTCCACCCTTGCATTGAAGTCATTATTCACATTTTACAATTAAACTAAACCCTGTACAACAGAAACTAGCTCCACAAGATTTTCTTTCTTGTGCCAGAAAATTACAGCCTTCACAACTAAGCTCACACTAGCCCATACAGATCCAGACTGCTGATCTCCACGAAACGTCAACAAAATGATAATCACTCAAACACCAGACTTGCAACTTAGCTCAATGAAAACAATCAAATAAATAAACGCACAAACAATCAGATCAGGGACCAAAACCCTTTGCCCAAATTTCAGATTTCACCCACGACAAAAAACTGAAAACCCCAGAAAACTACCACTCATCTACAATAGAAAAAAGAAAAAAGGGATTCGAATTCACCGATCCAGGTCACAAACAAACCGATCAAGAATCCAGAAGATTTCAAATTTTCAACTAATTCCATAAATTAATACAACGGAGAAAAAATCCATACATGGAAGAAGGAAAAATCAAATTCAAACAAAGCATACCATGATGGCATATAATGTTGAACAAGCCAAGGTGCTGTGATTAGCCGGCGACGCAGCTGGTAATTATCGAGAACCAGAAATCTGCCTCTATCTTAGGGCATCTTTAATAAGAGGTTTCTTATCAGGTTTCCAAACCTCCTGCTACAGATTTTCCACTAAATAAGATAATATGGAGTCTGCTGCCCACGCCCCAAATATGTTTGTGAAGAGGATGGTCCCACGTCTGCAGCCCAACTTTCATGAAATTTGTTTGTGTTTTTTTTTTTCTTTTCGTTTTTTTAATCAATTTATTGGCACACTTACACCACTTGACATTTATATATATATATATATATAGGGATTGGTTCCAATGCATCCCATTATTTAAAGTGAGGACGTGAGACTCATTCCTAGCCACAAGATTTANATATATATATATGTATATATATATATAGGATGTGGTTCAAATGAGAACCAAGTCTTAATGTGAGAACCGTGAGAACCGCTATTTTTATTTGAGCGTAGTGCTATGATTAATTGTGTTTGATGCTATTTTTAACCAGGATGAATTTTATTAAAAATAGCAACACAATTTCTGTTAGCATTTGTAAAAATGATAGCATTATCTAATATGAAAAATAGCATCATACACAATTAAAAATAGCATAAAAAACGGTTCTCACGGTTCTCACACCAAAACTAGTTTTTATTTGAACCAGCTCCTATATATATATATATATATAATAATTACAACTAGCAATACTCATTTTCCGTTTTTGTTATCAAATCATGCTTAATTGATAACAATTATTGTTTATAAATTGGCTTAAAGACACGTGTACGACTCTTACTTATAGCAATACCTCAATTACGATACACAAACTTTTATCACATAATAGCGTGTTATTAAAACTACTTCTACAAAACTACGAACATTGAAATAAATGGAAACAAAAATTGCCGCTGCAATCTGGATGATATTTTCCGTAATCGATGCGCAATTGATGGTATGAATGTTACTGAAAATGAAATGGTTGAAACAAACCACAACAAAAATGAAAACAATAATTTATTTATGGAAACGTGGTAAATTTGTGGAAGAGTTTTAACAGTGAAGGCTGGAGTCGTGAAAAACTTTCAGAGGATCTCACATCGTCGGCGATTGGTGTTGATGATTGAAGGTATGTTTTGTAGATTGATATCTAATTTATTAATTTATTATAAATTTATAAACCATTACAAGAATACATTTATCAAGTTTATTTTAAGTTTATCTTAGGTTTATGAACCAGTTTTTCTACCATAAGTTTATATCTAATTTATATTTAATTTATTATAAATTTACACACCATTACAAGAATATATATTGTAAATTTATATTTATATATATTTTATTTTTCATTTATTATACAAAAAAAAATTATATATAGTTTATTTNTTATAAGTTTATCTTGGGTATATAAACAAGATTTTCTACTATTAATTTATATCTAATTTATTTTTAGTTTATTATAGATTTATAAACCATAACAAGAATACAAGTAAATTTGAATTTATATATAGTTTTTTTTTCAGTTCATTATACAAGAAAAATTTATATATAGTATAATTTTAGTTTATTATAGTTATAAAATTAATACTTTATATACACAAAAACGAATCATTCACTCACAAAAGTAATGAACAACTAAAATATAAAATACAACATAGCTACAAATAAAATGAAACAAAAACCATCAATAAAAATAACCATAAGAAATATTCAAAACAAAATCGACATGAATTAACCAACCAAAAAACAACTGCTCTTTTGTCCAGTTGTAACATCAATTAAACACATAATTCTTCCACAAAATAATTATATCAAACATTTGAAAAATATTTTCTCCATAAGGCTGATTCTACACAAACCATCTGTAAATAAAAACTACAATAAACCGAAAAAAAAAANTCAGAATACAAACTATTGATAAACATAATAAAATCATAGATAAACATCAATTAACACTCAAAAGCTACTTAACAAAAAAAATTCCAGATATTATTCAAGATCCGAGCTTCAAAAAATCATAGATAAACATCAGATAAACATCAAATTAACACTCAAAAAACTATAAATTTTTTTCCCCTAAATCAACACACGTAATGAAATCATCAATTAACACTCAAAAGTCTATTTTATAAAAAACTTCCACAGATTATTCAAGCTCTCATCTTTAAAAAAATCATAGATAAACGTCAAATAAACATCAAATAAACATCAAATAAACATCGAACCAACACTAAAAAAGCTACTTTAATTTTTTTTCTTCTAAAAATTAACACTACTAATTTGAAAAAAGGGGTAATCGGAGCCATGGAAACGCAGCCCATCACTTTTTCCGACCTTCGTATCCCCATTTTCACCTCTCTTCTCCTTGACGCTTGTTTTCTCCTCGTTCATAAACCGAGCCACTTTTCAACAAGAAATCTCATACCAGAGTTCTATTAGTAAAATTTCCACAATTCACATATTCACTTCAATCCCAATTTTCAATTCTAAGAATATTAAAAGCTCTCATTCCCTTTTCAAGANGAAACTGATAGCGGCAATCATGAAAAATACTACTAAGTAATTCAAGAACAACAAAAAACAAACCAAAATATTGTTAATTAATTCAAACATTGACTACAAAAAAATCAGTTATTCATAATACAACCATCAATTTTTTTTAGAATTACAATATAATTTAGAGATTCCATAAATGGACATAAACATGGAACATACCAAACATAAACATGTAACATACCTAACTAGTTAAATAATACAGATAAGAGAAAAAAGAAAAATTATATATGGTTTATTTTCAGTTTATATATAGTTTATTTTCAGTTTATATATGGTTTATTTTTAGTTTATTATAATAAACTAGTTAAACTAGTTTATTTTCAATTTATTATATAAGAAAAAATCAGTTTATTATACAAGAAAAAATTTCAATTTATTATTTTCAGTTTATATATGGTTTATTTTCAGTTTATTGTAGTTATAAAATTAATACTTTTATACACACACAAAATGTAAATTTATATATATTTTATTTTCAGAACACAGACTATTGATAAACATAATGAAATCATAGATCAATTAATACTCAAAAAACTACTTTATAAAAAACTTCTACAAATTATTCAAGCTCAAAACATTGATAAACATCAAATAAACCTCGAAGTAACATTAAAAAAACTACTTTAATATTTTTCTAAAAATTAAAATGTGTAAATTAGAAAAAAGGGGAATCAGAGCCATCGAAAGAATAGGAAACACAGCCCATCACTTTTTGCTGACCTTCAAATCCCCATTTTCACCTCTCTTCGCCTCGACTCAACGCTTGTCTTCTCCTCATTGATAACACCAACTCAAGCTCTTGTTATATCGACCTTTGCAACCAGCTTCGCCACAAATCGAGGCGAATTCTTGCTGA